CCGACCAATTGTTTTCCAGAAGAGCTGTACCATTTAACAAGTGCCAGAAAAAGACAATCCCCTAAGCCAACTCCTAACTGGATTAGAGGGATCGTGCCGCCCCCGCTCTCTTCCTGTTTTAGAGACCGTTGTTTGTGTCCCTGTCAGAAAGAACAAACCCGGGATTGACGCAGGGCATGCAGCGCGAAGCATTCGGCTACAAATCCATCCTGAGCTGTCCTTCCACCCGACCCTCGGGCTTAGCCAAACCGGCTGGAATGATGATTTGGTTTCCGTCCGGAGGAATGCAGGGCTGGCTGGTTGGACCCAGCAGCTGGGAGGCGCAGAGAGAGCCCAGATATGGAAGGGCTGGAGGAAACATGTTTCCAGAAGAAAACTCCATTTCCTAAAGATGGCGGCTTATTTGTCCGTTCCCTCTGCTTGAGTTCATTTTTATCTTAAACGAGGAGAAGAAAATGCTCCGCTGGTAGGAATGGAGACAGGAAAAAGAAGCAGTGAAATGCATTCGAGGCGTGTCCTTGGGGGAACCTGTTGCCCGGGTGCATGCATTCTTTGCTCTCTCCCGGCCAGTGTGCGAGGTCCGAGACAGTGCAAGGTCAACTTAGCCAGGAGGACAGTGTGTTCACTCTGTCACGTTGGCACTGATGTGATGGCTTCAGAGTCCTGCGGCCTTCACAGTTTATCTTGGAAACCGGGGGATTCGGTGCTTGCAAAATGCCCCAGGAGCAGAGGGCACGCGAGCAGGAGACGTGGGGAGCCCAACCGAGGGCCGTGCCTCCGTGTGTTGACAGAGGGCAGGTGTGTGAGAAGGAACAAAGAGGGCCGGGGACAAATCTGGGGGGGTGCAGTGACGGAGCAGGAATGCCAATTGCACAAGGGCAGGCGCCTGGGCCGTCTGGTTCACCGCTGTAGCTGGAGCACCTGGCACAAGTCAACAACAGCAAGATCTAGCTGCGGGCAATTGGATCCGGCCGCACGGCAATGCCAGGCGGGTCAGAGTGGAAGTATGCTGCCCCGAGCTCTAGGTAACTGATGTTTCATAGTAGGTCTACTCTCCCTGGCCTCGGGGCATCTTTTGTACAGCCCAGTAGGTACCCAAGAAATACTTGTGTAAGAATGACCAGGACGTGACTAGCTGAAAGAGGCGAGGTCATCAAAAGAGGAGAGGTTGTTGAAGAGCGAGGAGCCCTGGTGGCATAGGGGTTACATGTTGGGCTGCTAACCCTGAGGTCAGCAGTTTGAAACCACCAGTTGCTCTGAGGGACAAAGATGAGGTTCTCTGTGCTTGACACACTGGATGGATGGATGGTGATAAGAGTTGTACGAGGCCCCAATAAAATGATTTTGTTTTTAAAGTCACTGCCTTGGGAACCCACCAGGGCAGCTCTCCCCTGTCCCAGGCTCACTCTGAATTGGAGTGGACTTGACACCAGTGAGTTTGGATTCTTGGTGCTGAAGAGTCACAGAAACAAACAAGGCACGTCTGAGCCAGAGAGTCCTTGGAGACAGGCCCATCCACTCCACCCCACCTCAGGCCGTGAAGAAGTAAACAAGAGGGCGATGTGATTCTGTAGGGGTGTCCAGGAAAGGCAGGTGGGATCCTCCCATAGCCAATGAGAACCAAGCCGTGCTGAGAAGCCATGCTCCCTACAGTCTCCTAACAAAGAAGGGTTAAGGCAGGTGGGCCAAACATTGGAGGTGAAAATCCAAAAAAAAATCCAAGTGAATAATACCTGGAGATTTGCGACAGCCCCAGCTCTGCCACTCAATAGCAGATGACCTTGGCCTTATCACTTTAACCTCCAAGTCTCTGGTTTTCCCTTGACAACTTCCTGCCTACCTCTCAGAGTTCAAACGTCACCCACCGTGGCTCTGACGGTGCAGAGTGAAATGTATTCTCGTGTTTCTCAGGGTCAGAGAAACCTGACTCTGGTCAGTGCTTCTCAAATCTTATCATTGAGACTAATGGCCTGGGTATCTTCCTCAAATAAAGATTCGGCTTAGTGGGTCTGGGACGGGGACTGTTTCTAACAAGCTCCCTGTTGGCACTGATGCTCCCAGTTCAAGACTCGCTGTGAGAAACCCGGCTGTAAAGAATACAAATTCCAGTGAGATGAGCATCAAGATGGGCCCTGGGGATGGGGAGCCGTGCATGGGAAACAATGGGTTCAGCAAAGTCAAATATGGCTCCTCGTTGCTAGCCATATTCAGAGATCTTGCCTCTCTGGGGAGGTGAGAGGGAGGGGGAGAGGTATACAATGTTTCCCAAACCCATTTGGCTCTGGAACCCTTTTTGTTTAAATTAAACATTTTATTTTGTGATTACTGCAGCTTCGCCTGCAGTTGTAAGACATAATCGTGAGCTCATGGACCCTTCACCAGGAGCCCTGGTGGCATAGTGGTTACACATTTGGCTGCTAATCCCAATACCAGCAGTTCGAAACCCCCAGGCACTCCACAGGAGAAAGATGGGACTTTCTACTCCTGTAAAGAGTTAGTCTCAGAAACCCACAGGGGCCATTCTACCCTGTCCTACAGGGTTGCTATGAGTCGGAATCAACTCGATGGTGAATTTGAGATGGGGCAAAAGTGAGGGGAGGGCGACGGGTTTCAGCACCTCAAACAGAAACTCTTGTGCCCCTTAAGCAGTACCATCCCAGATCCTGGCAATCGCTATTCTACTTGTCTGCAGGCATTGTGCCTATTCAAAAGATCTCCTATAACTGGAATCATACCATATTTGTCCTTGTGTGTCTGGCTTATTTCACTCGGCATAATATTTTCACGGTTCATCCGTGTCCGAGCATGCACTCCTCATGCCTTATGACGGCTGGATGTGTAACAGCGAAGAGGAGGAAAGCGCTTGGTGAGACAGGTTGATGGCGCAGTGGCTACAATGCCCTCAAACATGGCAACAATCGTGAGGATGGCGCCGGACCCGTCGCTGTTTCCTTCTGTTGCGAGGAGTCGGAACCGACCCGACGGCACCTAACTCCACTGCACAGCAGGCTTTTCGGCTATCTACTCCTCTGCTGAGGGGCCCTAGGGCTGGTGGCCACTGGGAGTGGTGCTGCCGTGAACCTTGCAGGCACCGCCGGGCCCGTTTGCAGTTCTTGGAGGATGGACCCAGGAGGAGAATTGCGGGGTCATGTGGGGATTCTTTTTGCCTCTATGTTCTTACTAACACTTGATCTTTTTTCGTTTTCTTTTTTTATTGAATAGCAACCCTGGGTCTGCTTTTTGAATTAACCCGACCAATTGTTTTCCAGAAGAGCTGTACCATTTTACACTCCCACCAGGAGCGCGGGGCTGCTCTGGGCTCCCTGCCTCCATGCTGTAGCCAGCAGGGATAGCCACGTGGGGCTCCAATTGGCGCTTCGCTGATGGCGAAACCCCATCTTTCCGTGTGCTTCTTTGCCATCTGAATAGCATTTCTATGAGATGTCTTCTGGCCGTGTTCTAACTAGATTATTTGCTTCCTTGCTGTATTGAGAGCTCTTTGTACATTCTAAGCCATAGGCTCACACACATATTTGGCCTACCGCTTTTTTTCTTAAAAAAATAAAGACTCACTGCTGCCCCCGGCAATCAAAACCTTAGTTCTGCAGCCTGTCGTGCAGGATAAAGGGGAGGTATCTGCTCTTGCAGCCCCTGTGGGTCATCCAGTGACTCACCTTGTTCCCCACTTTGGACTAGACTAGGCCTTTGACAATGATGGGTGTAGGAGATGGGCTTTTATGGAGCAAACAGGTTTGGGGGAGTTTTCTTTAAGACCAATTTATGCTCCTTTTGGGGGAGGGGGTATTGATGGATTCTGCTTTGTGTGTCAAAATCAAGATGTCTTTGCCCCATCTGAGATCCCAAAATTTAATCCTATCCACCACCCCCAAGATTTTATAGCTTTGCATTTTCTATGTAAATCTGTGGCCCGTTTGGAGTTAATTTTTGCATATGGTGTGAGACTTGGCTTGAGGCGTGCTTTGCCCTTTTGTTTTCTTCCTGCATTTTGTCCTTTGAATGTCGGATGGCTCCAGCACCATCTGTTGAAAAGGGCATCTTTTCTTTACTGAACTGTTTGCACCTGTGGCACAGAGTCTGGGAAATCTGTGTGGGCAGATTGCTGGACCCCTTGTTTTGCTTCCCGATTTCCCCACCTCTCCATCAGGAACACTTCGCCTGGATTTCTGAAGCCATGTGATAAGGCTTGAAATTGGGCAGACTAACGCCACATTATTCTTCCTTTTCAAAAATACTTTTAAGGATGTCAAGAATACATATTCAACATGTGTCAGCCCTTGGTAACAGCTCATTTTTCCACCTCCCCAATAAGGAATTCTTTCAGTGTAGTCTTGCGTATAGCGTTTTTTGTAGCTATTGTAAATTATTTAAATTTCAGTATCTGTGTGTTCATTGCTAGTAGTAGAAACACAATTTATTTGGGGATATTTATTGTTTCCTGAAATTTTTTGGAACTCGTTTGCTATATCAAATGGATATATTATATAAAAGAGATCTATATTCTATCTCTATATAGATTTCTTGTATAGATTCCTTGGGATTTTCAACAGTTGACAATAATATCAACTGAAAAAAAGTGCTCTTTTACTTCTTTCTTTCTGACGTATGCCTTTGCATGTCTTATTATCCATTGCACTGGCTAGATGTTCCAACATTACATTGCTGAAGAACAGAGGGAAAAGACAACCTCAC